AACAAGACCGCTTTAATTTTCAATAATTATATGTCGTAGTAGGCAACTCGAGTGCTCTCGAACTTCTTATTGATCTTGAAGATTCTATTTTATTTACCCGATATAAAGAGTAGAATTTGCTTTACGTTTATATACGTTAATAGTAATTTCGTTTCGATAATTCATTCATAATAATATTCGGTTGACCGTTCTTTAATATCTATACTTAACGGAGTAGGTAATATTGGACTTTTAACGCGGCGTCCAACGTACGCGAATGTTTTTACACCGGTCCTATCCGGCTTTTGTCGGATTATCCCGATACACGGTTTCACATCGAGTCGCTCTTTAAATAATGCGAGCTGAGAGCGCGTGTCAAAAGCATGCCGCGCGGCTATCACATAGTCCTGCTCAATAAAGAGCTAATTCCGGCCTAATTAAACGTGCTGCGAGCCACCTCTGGTCGCTGTATTTAACACGAAGGGCTCGCGCGCGCGTCATCGACGTGGCGCATACGTGTGCATTGGCACTTAGACGTGGATACTAATTACCGATATGGAGAGGGCTCTCAGGGTCTTCGTTTTGGCGCATACTCAGACTATTAATGCGATCCATAGTGAACGAGAAAACGTCAATGTGAAACGCATGTACTCGCACCATCATTCTCTCTCTCTCTCTCTCTCTCTCCGTATTCGCGGAAACGCAGAGCTGCGTATCCTGTCGATTTCGTTTTCATCTGACTCGCTTCTGTACGGCGCAATATGAACGTTATACCTCTAATTACCCGTTTAGGAACTTCAGCCGTTATTTCAGCAGGTATTATGTGCGGTATCGGAATTATGTGCGTCATCAGGTGGACAAGGATGAGCGGCGAACGAATGAGGAGTTACATTACATGACGGATGTATTTCACATTAGCCGCGAAAACTCCTGTGAGAGCCTCTCGACGGAAAGCAAATTAAAGCGTTATTAAAGCTGTTGGCGATCGCACGGAAGGAGCGGGTAAATTAATCTCCATGCGAATTGCTCGCACGAAATTTGAATGTCGCTTTGTTCCGACTATATATACGTACGTACTCTCGGCCGCGAGAGCGCCGACGTGCGATGGGCCCGGCGTCTGTGTCGCGCTTAATGGAATTCTTTCCTCGCCTCGAGTTTAGCGGATTGCGAGTACGCGATTAAGCGACGGACGCGCGCAATCGAAACTCATTTGCGAAACAGACGGATCGATTAATTAAACGGCATGTCTTCGCGAAACGCGTTCCTTCAGCTCCCGCGCGTATTGTAGAAGCGTGTAAAATTCCCGCCCAATGAGACCTTCGGCGAAAAAGCCGGCGTTAACCACGCCAATCGTAGCGGTAACGATAATAGTTACATCAGCCTTAATAGCCACGTAACGATAACGACCGGCCATTAGCGTGAATGTCACATATAATGGATTTCTTAAAGTCGCCGTTCGCGGCCGATGCTGCGCCGAATTTTTCGCGGTCATATTTCGCGGAATGAGATTTCGCTGAGGCAGAAAATTGGGTGTTTTACGGAAATTTAGTGCTGCATAACAAATCGCACGTTAATTCATGCAATGTCTCAATTATATAAAAAATTATTCAGAAATGTACGTGTTCTAAAATTTTTATATTATCTGTAGGCAGTATCTTCAAACAGTAGCTGCGCGATAGCCATAAAAATAATTAATTAAAGAGATAAATAAAGACAATCACAAGCTATGTTAACTTGTTTATAATCTCCATTGTAATGGCATGATTGTGATGATATAACAAATTGTATCGATAGTGCCAGTGCAGTAATCTTGTAATCTGCGGAAATGGAATTTTTCGAAACAAAGAAAGTGAGAAAACTCTTAAGTCCGCGCGCAATCTATCTGATAGTGTAGCGAAGAGTTCGCAAACTTCGCGCTAAACTCTCTTTTTCGCTGCTTTTTTCGTAACAAAACATGTCCCTCCAACAACAGCGGCTTCTAAATGTGATCGAGAACTTATTTTCATAAGAAACGCAGATACGCGGGAAGGGGAGAATCGCGGCAGGAAAAAAATGCCGCCGGTGTAAAAATCCGTGTTAAAAATAATTTAAAAAAAAATCGTCGGCCCGATGATACGCCGCGTGTCTCGCATTTTTCTCCCGCAAAATTTCCGGAAAAGTTACGTAAAGTTACGTAAAGTCGACGCGCGCGGCGAGCGAAGGCGGATAATTTCACGCGCGGTTCACACGATTCGCGATCGACGACGACAGCTGGCGAAACCGTATCTATCCCCGTAACGGTACATGGAGCACGGATTCGAGCGGTTCAAACGGAAAAGTAATTTCCCTCGGAAATATCCCCGGGAAGACCGCTCCAGTGATTATCGAGATTCGCATCGCTCCTTATTTTGCCCGTCCCGGTCGGCCGGGCGCGGTTCGGCTTTCTTTTTTTTTTTTTTTACGATTACCGCGATTTTCGTACGCGACCACGGAAATATTTCTCCTCTTTGTCGGAGACGTAGATCGTTAAATCCCCTTCTTGCGACCGCTCGGCGCATTAACGGAGCCCGGGTCAAGGGTTAAACTCGCGCGGGAATCTCTTTCCGCGCGCCACCTAATCCTCGAAAATTATCACTCTTGGGGCTCCGCTAAAAAGCGCGAATGCCACCGCTCTCCGCGCAGCTCTCGCGTCTGCGCCAATGAATTTCACCCCTCTCGCGGATATAACGCCCGTCCCCGAAACAATTTACTTCCGCGGCTGTAATTACTTCGTCCTATGGAACATGCAACGGCTTCGATTCACACATTCCCTCCCCCCCCCCTCCGCGATGCGCTCTCACGCGGATTTTAATAATCGTTTCGCTCTTAATTCTTTTGTCGCGGGCATGCAGAGCGACCAGAAAGCACTAAATTTCCATTCAAAACTCGTTTTACCGAGTTCGCTTTCGAAGAGCTGCGAGAGCGCGGTCGTTTTTTATCGCGGGTTTTATCCCGTAATACTTCTGATTACAGAGAAAATGACTGGTAATAACCCAACCGTTGTGGAGCGGACTAGCAACAGGTACAAGGACTTGCACCATCCGGCATCAATACGCCGACCCGCTTCCGCTCTCGAGTCATCAATAGATTTCTCGATAGGAAAAAATACGTGTACATGTATTGGCACAGTATCGTATTTCTGTAATATTGGATTTCGAATAGTTTCAATATTTTGAACCACGCATACATATAATAGTAACAATATACATACATATACATTATATAAATGATTGATAATGATTGTAATCTATAATTCTCGATGCATCGCAAATTTCATAAATAAATAAGAGAGAGATTTCTAGATTTCTCGCGATAGGAAAGCCAGTCGACAGCTAAAGAAAGGGTACGCGTGATTTAAGAGATATCTACTCCTTCCCATTTCACTTCGTCCCCGCTTATTGCCTCGGATACGGTATATTCTGCGCCGAAAAAGAGAGCCCCGGTCATAAATACGCTATCGGGAGTGCTGCGGAAACCGTGGTTTCGCGCCAGAGATACAACGAGTTCGTTTTCCGACGAGGTATCGACGCGGATTTCGCGCGCGCGGACCTTTTCCGTCGGACAATGAAACATCGCGCGTAAATACGACGAGGGCAAAAGCCCGAAGGGAAACGCAAGGGGAGATACGTTACGTTAGATCCTAACGCGGCCGCCGCGAAATTGGATACAGCGGCATGAAGAGATGGAGTTCGGCTGAAGGTGAAGAAGTATCCTCGAGAATCAATGTGAGAGCGCGAGGGAGGAGAGATCTCGGTCAGAGGCTCGCGCGGGGATCATAATAAAGGGTTCGTAATAAAGGGGGCTCTCCTTCGCCCCCCGTTCGGGCAAGAACTGCCGGCCATTGTCGGAACGTTTCGCGAGAATTAGCTGCAATTAAGGCGATTTGTGCCGACAGGGCGCAGAGATTGCGCGTGGACGACCGGTACGAAACGGCGAAGACGGTAAACTTTCGAGCGGTACTACCAGCTCCTAACTACTCAGCTCGCTTCGTCGCGCGCGGGTGATAGCTCGAGGAGCGCACCTTACTTTATGATTATTTCGCAATCCCGACGATGCGCCTCGCGCGCCGCAGAAATAGCGATTTAACGTTGTTGCCTTGGATAATGTTGTTCGCGTCTCTCAGCGATTGTTCTGCCGAAACAAAAGACGCCACATGCCCTTTCGCGCGCGAACATTCGCGAATAAAATTAAGGTAATGTGCCGTGAGATAAGGTCACACGCCGCATTGCACGAACTCACGTGCGTTATCAAGTAACGTTTATAATAGTAATATAATACGTAATATAAAATGATATAATATAACATAACATAATATAATAATAAAACAGTAATATATTGACAGAACTGCCGTCCAATTTTTCCTTCAATTTCCCAGGGCTTCCTATTTCATTTGCAAAACACCTACCGGTCAACGAGTATCTCCTACTTTTTTTTCCATCGGATATATTATATTACCTCGCGTAATCTATTCAACGACACGTGGCACGTGAAGTGGGGTTTTCGAAATGCGCGGATTGGAAAAACAAAAGGCGCGATATCGCGCGGTATCACGCATGCCGGCGGTCAATAACATATCCGTTTCGATAAAATGCAAGCGCTTAAATCTTTATTCGGACAATTCAAACGTCAAATACAATTACGTTACAATATTAGCCTAATTTCTCCCAGGCTACGTTAATTGGATAAATCCAATGATAAACGCTAAATTCCAAATAAACACTGCATTGCGTATTAGCAAATTGCAGCGTTTTGATTTTCCACCGACCGATATATTCGAAATAATAAATACGGGATTGCCTATTATAGTTCAATTTCTTCCCTTTGATCGGACAAATTCAACGGTAATTACCGATAATAATGTACTCGTAATAATATACTTTGAGAATATAATATGATATCTCTTTTCCGAACGTCGAAAACATGACGGAAACAACATTGCGAAAACCAAAAACTCTTTCTAACTCTACTGTAGCCTAAGAATGGATAATAGAGCTGCCGCTCACCGTCAATGTCGATTTCCTGCAGCATCGTTCTCAGCTCCTCCGCTCTCGCAAATTGTCCCAGGGAACGCATAACCCTGCCGAGTTCTTCTTTCGTGATAGTTCCATCGCCGTCCTTGTCAAACAGCCTGAAGGCCTCCCTGAATTCTGTCGAGGGGAAAAGAAGAGAGACCGGCGTGAGTGGCTTCAATATACGTTTTGCCTTACGTCACTAAGAAATAACTAAAATTACTTCGGACTTTTCTCGGCCGGAGAAAATCGCGTGTAAATTGTTCCGCCGTTTGCTCTCACTTACGCCGGCAATTTTAGAGCAATTTTTCCCCAGCATTCTACTTCCGCGTTAATTAGATTGGGCATTATGCGCTTTGAATTTTTCACTTCGGCCGAGTGTATCCCCGAACCCCGTCCCCTAGCGCATCAAGCATCCTCTCCGGAATTGCCCTTTCAGAGCCGGTCACCAACGGAGCCAGTTAACTGACTAAGGGGCAGCGGTCGAATTCCCGGAGCGAATTTGACGAGATACGAGAATAAGCCAGTGCGGGTTTCGGCTCGACGGTGCTTGACTGGATCGTTTAATGGCCTCGTTTCCCGCGTCGTTGATTCTGGCGGCGCAGTTATACGCATAGGTACATATCCGTGCATCACTATTGCCCGTTCGCGAATTGTAATCAACATGATCGCGTCTTACGCCTTTATTTATAGCCGCTAGACGAATCTTGTCTCGGACGCGCGTCACATCGAAGTTACGTATTATCTTGTGAATTGTGCGGACGTGATTTTAGTGATCGCATTTAGCGTAGAAATCAACCGAGGCTTGGGATTCAGACGGGAAGCGGAGAACAATCCTTCTTCTTTATCTATGGACTTCCGTCCCGTCAGGTACCTGTCATCTCTGATTCTTTGCCTCCACTTCGGTCCCCGGCAGAAACTCCGAAAAAAGCTACCGAGTAGGATAATCGATGGTACAAGATGGGCCAAATTAATGGGAAAATTTAAAGAAATAAAATAAAAACTTAGAACTTCTCGCGAGAAAGTAGCGAGCATTAAAATCGCATTATTACACCTGACGTTGTCAATAATCTGAATTAGAGTTTAACATCAATATTTCAATGTTAAAGATTACACAAATTAGATAATTTTAAATAGCATTTTTGAAAAATATTAAAACAATTATTGATACATGAAATAGGAAAATCTTAATTATTTCAGCTTGAGGTAAAGATTAATGCAAAGGAAAAAATCTGTAATTAATTTCTATATTTGTATAATTCATTTTACGTGTAAAATTTGTCTACCTATCTATCTATCTATCTACGGTTCTATTTATAGTGTCAATTGAACAATAGTGTAGTGACACGATAACTGCTTTAAGAGAGGTCTTTTATACGAAGGCGATAAAGACGTAACGATTTTCCGGAAGAAATTACATTCGACGAAGTATACACGAAGACACGTGACTTTCTTGACACTTTCAACGAACGAGATCTTAAAGGAAGAAAATCAGTCAAAAGAAAGAGAAGAGTCTAGAAAAAAAATTTGGATTTTATTATAATAAACCGAGGAACGAGATTAAATCTGCGTAAATTTTATTAAATCGTGAGATCGTGCTTCCAAAAAAGTTTTGTGGAATAATATTTGACGTGATGAAACTGAAGGATAATCGATCGCGCGGTATATAAAGTTACGCCGTTTATAACGAAGTTGAACGCACAGTCTTTGTTTAATAGTTAAATGAGTTCCGTCAAAACTAAAATATATTTAAGGCGTAACTGTTAAGTGCCCGCCTCAAGTTGTATTAAAAATATTGACGAGCTGCTTCATTAACATTGTCGTTATTTCGAGAGAAAGAACTTTGTTCGGAGCTCGCGAGTGTGATAGCAATAAAAATTACCAGGAGATTGGTTATTCACTTTCATCGATAAATACGTTTGAATTAATGTCATTTCGCGTAAAACTCATGTCGGGAGAAGAAAAGAGATATGAAATGGAAAATCATTCATTCGTATTTTCGCGTCGGATTAAAAAGAAATTGAAAGCATTGATTCTTTGATTAAACGGTTTTCCAGATTGGTTTCGAAGACCTGCCGCAGAATATTTACGGACGGTTTAGCGAGAATAATTAAATACAATAAAAAAAAAAGAAAGAGATGAGCACCACGAAATGTGAAACGATATTACAGGCATTACAATGCAATTTGTTTGACGTCGATTGGAGAGATCGCTATTCATCCACCCTGATACGAGTGGAAATGTAATATTCAATAGCGATGTTTATAAAGGCAGAAAGAAAAACAAGTCGCGTGCGTGATGATGGACGACGTGCGAAAATAAAAAAAAAATGCTCACATATGCGCGAAAAAAAAAACGTTCGACGTCTGCATGACATCGTGTACGCGAAACGCGAAATTATTTATCTCGGCCTGCTGATCTGATCGATCAAATTGGCCTGATTCCCCGATTCTCGAGCGTGCGGCACTACGTCGTGTACGACGGCGATAACCGGCGGGGGAAAATAATGGCCGGCTGCGAGACCGGAATGAAGCTCGCGTAAGCCGCGGCGGGGCCGAACTATAGCGGGCGTATATAGTTTTATCGGGATTAACGAAGCGATGACACCAAACAGGCGAGATATCCCCGGCGTACCCGGTGTTACCCGGGCGTGTGCCAAATTGAATCCGGCGCCGCGTCGCGCCGCGCCGCGCCGCGCCGCCGTGGGCATCTCCATCATCCGGCATCTGACGCCCGCGATCAAAAGAGTACAGATTTGCATTTTGCCATGCGAGGCCTGATATCGTAATATAATACCAGGCGATAAATACGGGAGGAAAATTGTTTTTGCTCGCGCATGTTGCAAACGAAATTATTATCTTACAAAATTAATCATGTTTTAATTATTAATCCATTACGTTCACATTTCCCTGCCGTAGTCGCATTTGTTCGAAAAATTGCCTCTTCTCTAGTTTAGAATTTATTGTCTTTTGAGAAAATATTAAATATATATAATATAATATCATAAAATAATGTTTAATATTAAATATTAAATATTTATATCATTGTGATATGACTGTAAATTTTAGGATAGAATAGATAATCATTGTGAATAGGACCAATTATGTGAGAAAAATTACCTGCCTCGCTCGGAACGAATGAAGACGTGACGGGTAAGCCTGATATTTCACGTGTCGCGCGACAAGTTTTTCCGAGGCGTGCCGATTGGCTATCAGACAGAGAATTTCTGGGGCCGGCGAAAAACTTGTTCTCTTGATAGGTCAATCGGCCAAAAAACTTGCCGCACGACTTGAAATATTAGTCTAAACGAGCCTAGACGAGATTCGTGGCGCATGGTTTGGATCATGTTACAAAAAGAAGAAAAGAAAAAGCATTTCTGTATCGTCTTTGCTCTTTCTTTTTCCCTTCCTCCGTCTCATTTTATTTTTTTTTTTCTAATAAAATTTCATTTCAGGTTTCTAATAATACGGTCGGAAAAAAATCACTTTAAACCTCGACTCACCTTTCATCTGCGACTTCGATATGCCGGGCGTCTTGCTGGACGAAGAGTTGCTCGTCGACGACCGCTTCGGCGAGGCCGGCAGGGACATGATAACGTTCGCGGAGAGCGAGGTTCTGACGGGCTCGTCGCGGATGGCCGACGAGGACGCGGCCATGTCCGTCGGCCGCGTTAGGGATAATTCTTCCTCCTCCTGCTGCTGCCGTAGTCGCCGGCATTGCAGATTCATCGGGACGTCGGCGGCGGGGCACGATCCCGCGGGAACGTAGATCGGCTGCATCGGTAGCGCCGACGTTGTCACGGCCATCGTCATCGACGTCCGCGGGGTACGGTCCAGGGGTCCGGCGCCCTCACGTCCCTCCGCGCCGCCGTTTCCCACCGCGCCGCTGCTCTGTCTCGTCTGCAAGTAATCGCGTCCTGAAATGCATCTCCCCCACGCGCTCTCGTTTCCCGCACGGCAAAAGTTCGTTTCGCGATCGATACGCGAATTACTTATTTATATATTTATTACACGACTCCTTTTCGCGTTTATACGAACAAACGCGATGAAACGCCCTCAAAATTGGCTCGTTGCACGCGAAATGTCGTATCCTAAAAGCATTTCAGTTTTACGAAGGAAATGCTCTCGTAAATGCTCCTCGAACATAACCGAGTTTTATACATATGAGCCTTTCAGGAGGCAAATTGGTCAACTCCACGAGATAAGACGAAAGAATTGATGAAGTTATAAACCGATCGTCTGCTCTATAGTACCAAAATTAAGAAGCTTACAAGAGGAGTCGATCAGTTTGACTTTTGAGAAGCTCACGTATCGGAGAGTATTAGAGGGACATGAGGGATTCCTCCTTGCAAAAGTGCTCTTGAGTTTTTATCACGCGCGCGTGATTCTTCAAGCTAGCTTTTCTAAAAATCTCTGTTTTTTCAGCAAACATCTCCCACCACGTGATACATTATCTTATACCAACATTTGACGATCTTGATATAAAACTTCGCGCGGATCCGGGGTTTCGGAAAGGAAAAGGGACGTCGCGGAGGATGTTTCCCGGAGAGGTGCCTAAAAGGCTCATTTGTTTATAAAGTTTATAATATCGCCCTCTTCCGTTTTTTTTCTTTCACTTTTTATAAGACTTTTAGGATCGACCGCTATAACCGTTAACTTGTAAATGTGGCCGTTGAGCGACAGGCGAATCGCGCTCAAAGTAAAGGTACCTTAATATTTGATCCACTCGTGTCAGACGAAACGTGGAAACTTCTAAGGCAGTGACACACGCACGACTGGTATCCAGCCAATTTGACGACGAGCTCATTCCGTCGTTTCAGCGTCGGAGAGGCCTTATATCAATTATTAAAAATCTACTCGTACGTGAAAAGCGACAGCGTGTGTGCGGCGAGAGACGCGATTTTAATTTCGAGAACGCGTTAATGCTGTCCGGGAATTTTATTTTTTTTGCATTTAATATATTTCGATAAAGCGAAAAGACGTAAAGGGGAAAAAGAGGGGGGGGGGGGAGAAGAGAGATCTGTTAATGAGCCGAGCTTGTCGAGGCCGGGCTCGTCTCGTCGTCATTTCGGATCTCTGGCGTCGGAGATTCGCGATCTATCAGTCCGGGTTCGCGTTCCCCCGCGTTATCCCGCGGATAAGGGCGGCAAGTCGATCCGGATGGAGAGGCCGTGCTTCATTATCGCGAAAGTTCGCGGGGGACGTTGACGAGCGATTAACCGCCGTCCCCTCCTCTCCTCGAAAGAATGTAATAGCGCCCGCGCATCTATCATTTAAATGAGGGAGCATCGCGAACGAGCGCGCTCTCCCGATGTCACTTGGCGGCTCGATATGACGGGTGAAAATGCACAGACGTCATTTCCCGTTTTATCCCCCCGTGTGCTCGCCGGGAGATGTGAGGGGAAGGGGCGGGTGAGATCCGGCAATAAGCCGTTCGCGAAACTACGACGCGGCGGGCCATTGAATCGCCGCTCGCCAATCGTCGGAATTGCGATACGAGTTTGCGGGCCGGATAAGGAGTGCCTCAATCCCACGTCGAAAGCGGCGGGAATAGCTGCCGAAAGCACGCGGCACGTGGGTGCTTCAGCCCGGCGACGAATGTCGTTATCGGGACGTCGAAACGATAAAGTTCATCCGCGAGATGCTAAATTATACAACTCGGACTCACGATTCGATTCTCGCGAGAGCGGAATGAAAATCCCCTCCCCCCCCCGCCCCCTTGATTACGTTCGCTGCCGGACGCGTCCGTTTGCGTAACCGGAATCGTCGATAAGATTCACGAGAGAGAGAATGAGTGGGAATTAAGACAAGCCCAATTATAAACTCCCTGTTCCCGGAGTTTATAATTGGGGACGAGCACGTGCGACAAATTGGGAGGCAAATAGCGAACTTAAGGCACGCCCGGTCTTATTTCCCGGCCTTATCTTCCTCCCTCCGACCGCCACCGGGTCTCTCGGCGAAGCTACACCCCGGCCGTTGCGAGACACGTCGAGAGACTCGCAACACGAACTCTCGCGTCGTAGACTCTCGCCGGTATCGCCGGGAAACACATTTGCATTCCCGGGAAGTCGCTTCCTAGGGTCAAAATGCATTTAGGTTCTTCTTGGATGGAGAACGTCGGGATTGGAGCGACGTACCGAGACAGACGTCTGACTGTCTTCCCTTAACTGCGAGTGGAGTCACGGATGGGAGGGGGTGAAGGCGAGAAACTTCCCACGACGACGGTTCGACGAAGCGAATCAAATTCGAGCGCGCCGCGAACGCTGCGCGTTACCTGCTTGATCAAATTTCGACGCGGGGGGGATTCCTTGACGGAGAAAGAGAAAGAGACAGGGACAAGAAGGTGGAATGCCATCGACCGCGAAGGGGGGTGGATTACGGCTTACGGCGGTTATGCACCGCGGGCGAAAGTTTTGGCGCCTGAAACCGCGCGAGAGAGAAAGTTTCCCCGGACGTCCGGTAATAAAAGCACCCGGGTGCCTCTCTCTATCTCTCAGGGTGAAGAAGAAACTTCCCCGGAAGTTGCCGACTCCTTTCCGCGTTTCTCCGGGGACGGGACCGGGCGGTGACAAAATTGAATCCTCGTTAAAGCGCCGTCACGTTCCGCCGATCGACATCGACACTTTCGCGTCGCCCGGCACCAGCCCCCGGATTCCTCTTCCCACCGCCCTTCCCTCCACCCTTCCCGCCAATTTAAATTACATTTCATTACGAACCTTTGTAAACTTCGATGGTAGGATACCGGGCACTTATTTGTCCCACGGAGAAACGGGAACAGCTGTTTGCATTAGGCGCAAAACTCCGGATTGCCAAGGGGACAGATTCTGGCAGTAGTGTATAAGTAGTTTTTGCAAGAGGATGATAAAAAGAGTAAAGAGAACGAGAAGAACCGTGTGTCCTCGCGTGTGTTTGAAATAATTCGTTCACCATGGGTCTTTTTAACAGTATTTTTGCAGTTAAACACGCTTCATTAGACCGCGCGTGACAAAGGCGGAGTTAATTCGCTTCCGCGGCTATCCGTGCCCGACATTAATTAGCTTGACAATGTTGTTTATCCCCGTGCGCATGCAAGGAATTATAATGCAGATTTTTAATGGCTGTTTTAATAGCCGCGTATTGGCGCTTAGCCAAGATTACGCGTCCGCCGTCCATGTCAAAATGTATACGCTTTTATGAGGGCATCGCGTCACACGGTCTTTCGGCGAATTAAGGAATATACATATATTGTTACCGTCCAACGTATCGTGTTTAGAAAAAAAAAGCGATGCTAATGGAAAGGTTACGCGAATCTTTCGAGCAAACGACGCTTCGCATTTATTATCCGGTATAACATTTTTATGGCATTTATTTTAATAACGTGTAAATATCGGATCGAGAGGATTTCGCTTCGAAATTACGGTTTACCCACCGGATGTGTGCGCATAAAGGTAATGTATAAAATTGCATAAATGCATAATGTAAATATACGCGCAAAAAGCTCTCCCGCGTACTCGCAAATTCCTGAATATCGAGGAAAGTCACGTGGGCGACACAAAGTTAAACACGCCTCGCGGCCAAGACGGTCAATCCTAGGGTTCAAGTAAAAGCTATAGGATACCGGCCGCCATTTAAGCGGGAAAATCTTGCAAAATAAAATGAGAGAGCAACAGCCAAGTTTGTACTCTATCGTTCTATATCACATGTATATAGCGCAATAAATAAAAAATTATATCACTCGGTATCCCAACTTTTACTGGCGGGGAACTCCAATCAATCCGGTATTAACGTTTAATATCGTCTGGCGAGGTTTATTAAACAGGTGCGGACCGTAAACCTGCGGTATACACGCGCCCACTCGAGTATGACATGTCACCGGCAAAACGGCGCCGGTTATCGATGAACGAATGTATCACAGTCGATCGCACTTCGCGCTTCCTCCCGCGAAATAATGACTTTCGCTTCGTCACCGATCGCAATCGGTCGCTGACAGCCGTGACAGTCGGTTTACCTTAATGAAAGTAATTACAAAGAAGAATGGTTCTACAACGGCTGTGAATTTCTACTCGCTTTTAATCGGCGAGTTAGACGGGATATAAAATTTACATCCGTCCTTTCGGCGCACCGCAGGACATAAAACTTCCGCCGTACAACTTTATGATAGAATTTCGAATATCTCGCTGTTCCAGATCTTCTTCCTACAACCCGCTAAGATTTTCGCAATTGCGCTTGTTACGCTCGTTACGCTTATTACCCATTCTCGATAAGTTCATCCGAGCAAATTTACGCACGATGGAAGGCAGATATAAAGTATCGCGAGGGTGATCTTGAATAAGAAGTCAATTAACGAGTGCCGTATACGTGTCAAATTTTCGTAACTGTAAGAGATAAACGCTATACCGTCCTTCTGCAAGGACGGTTTTTAATTTTCACGTTACACTTCCTCTGGCAACGATTAAACGTGAAAATAAATTACGCGTGAAAAAGTAATTGATAAACTTACATATTTTCTTCTCTCACTTGTTTGTAAAATAAAAGTAATTGAGTCTCTCAGCAAGTTTGCGCGAGTGCCTTCTCGCGATTAAAATTTTGTTTAAGTAAGTGTTACGACCGCGTGAAAAAGGCGACGGTAGGCGGACCATTCGCCGATATAAATTACATTAGATATTTTCTGGAGGCGTTATGCATTATGCATCGCGGCCCAAAAGCGACGATATGACTGCAGCAAAATTCTGCTATTTAAAGGACTTAAAGATTCCTTGAACGCGAGGATGCGCGCGGACGAGTAACGTCAGATAAATGGCGAGTATTTTTACCGCCAGGAAGAACCGGGAGAATAATCTAGTCGCATTTTTCTGATTTCACGAATATATAGTACCGTAGTTGGCCGACGAGCCGACGGCTCGTAGGACGTGCATTTTTGTTCCGTGACTTTTCGAGCATTTTTCCGCCAGAGAATTCTCCGAGTGCCGAAAGGATCGTAGCTGCTCGCGCACACATGCACATACATACATACACACACACACACACACACACACAATCTCTTTCTCTCTCTTATTAGATTACCTCCATAAACCGGGACACCTTCCAGGGTGGTATATCAAATACGTGGGTGCCTTTGTCCGCAAAAATGTTTGGCACACCTGCGCTTGTAATCACGGATGTGAGCCGCGTCGCCCGCTACGCCCCACCGTGTATGCATTGAGTTAAAATAATTCAATAAACGGGCCGCGTTTGCATTCACGCAATCCAATAAATCTCAATTACGCGCTGTTATTGAATTCATATTCTCTATTCTTATTGATTAACAATAATAACACTGCATCAAAGTCGGCGCCGATCACGCCGCGCCGCGCCGCGCCGCGCCGCGTCGCGCCGATGCGGAAGCAATTGTTTTACATTTATTCGCAATAATTGATACGCGCGTCCGCATACACGCCAATTTATCGCGTGTGCCTCTTATTTTGTGTTCCACGGAACAAAAGAATTATCGTAGTACGTTTTCGAAATGACGTTGTTTCGGCAGAAAATCGGACTCTTAATATTCCCGATATCCGAATGGTAATTTATCTTCGCGGGATTCTCGTTCGGCTGATTCGTAATCAGTTTAACGAATCGGTCGATCCGATAGTTTCCCACGATCTGAAATTTATTCAGACGCACATTTTGCCAATCCTCCGAACACACACCGTTCTCGGATCAAAAATCAATCCCGCGGATCGATTCGTGGAACGAGCAGGGGAGGGGAGAGGGGCGCGCGTGAATGCATCAGAGCCTCGCGACCTTCTTATCCCTTCGCCCTTAATTCCCTACCGAATACTTCGTCGCCCG